TTTAAAAAAAAAATAAATATGACCACTAGTGTTACCCCCCCCCCCAGTTATTTTATCGACGTAATACCGGATTTATTACCAACAAATTTACGCCATTTTAAAAATGAAATTTCGATTTCGAAAAATAAAATTAATACTCTATCAATTTTTTCATATTTTAATTCGTAATCTTTGTCCAAAAAGAAAAAAAAAAGGAAAAAAAAAAAAACTTTAAAAAAGAATTATTATTCACTGTCATTTATTTACCATCGGGTTTCCCCCTAACCTTCCCCCCTTTAAAATTATAATAAATGTGAAACACTCGAATATTTTCTTCTTCTTCTTCTTCTACCAAATGTCATAAAAACCTATAATAAATTGCATTTTTGTTTTTTTTTTTTTTTTTTTTTTGTGCATTACACACGTCGACCATTTTAAAAATACGTGACCGAAAAAAATTATATTTGACGTAGATATGATAAAAAAAATATATATATATATTTGTTTTTTAATATATTTTTATATGAGTATTTAAGTTTTTACGCACACGCACGTACGCACGCATAGGAATACATATATATATATATACGCACGGATACGTTCGATAAAAATCTCCAAGTAAAAAAAATGCAGAGTTTTCAAGTTCGGCGGCCATTGGCCAAGCCATTCTTTCAAATTAAACTTTAACAAAACAAGGTAGTAATTCTAATTAATGCAACCTACTGAATAAATACCTTAAGGCTTCACAACAAATTAAGACAGCTGTAATTTTTTCCAGGTTTAAAAAAAAAAAAATTTTTTCCTAAATGTTCTCAGTTTTTTTTTTTGAAAAATTCAAAATACCTGGTAATGATGACACCTACATACTATACTTCTTCTTTTTCCGTCGGTGGATTTTCCCGATTGTGTTTCTTTTTCTTTTCTTTTTTTTGTACGAATAAAATCGAGACAATCTATACGTTATTAAAATAAAAAATCATGAGCATGTGCGTGCGTGTGCGTGTGTGTGCGTTACGATAATTTATTAACATTCGTTCGAATGTTATTACCCTGAGAAAACTTTACTTCGGAAAAGGTGAGAGTAAAAAAAAAAAAAAAAAATTACAATGATAATAATAAAACAAATACTAATACTAATACTAATACTAATAATATTAAATCTAAACTTATTACGAATTTTATAAAACCATTTCGACTGAAAATTTCTTCCGAGAGAAAAATAAAATTAAAAAAAATTATTATTATTATTATTATTATTATTATTATTATTAGTCATTTTAACGGTTGAAATTTTTTTTTTTTTTTTTTCGAAAATTTTCCAACCGGGAAAACTTAAGAAAATTATTTATTTCTTTTGCGAGAGAGTCAAAAGGTGATAAAATCAATTGATAACAATATCAGTAACGGGTAACAGTGCAAACGAGGCATTCATTTCCCCCCTCCCCCTTCCCCCCACATTTAAGTAATAATAATAATAATAATAATAATAATTAAATAAATTACATCAGTATATATTAATTTTCCTTCGCTTTTCGGTAATTTTCTGCTGCTGTTACATTACACTTAGCAGAAGGCATCAACAAACATGTTTTAAAAATTAACTAATATTAACACTAAATTTCTTTTCTTTTGAGGGGGGGGGTGGAGGGAGACGCATTAAATTATTTGTACATAATTTTTTTTTAATTTTCCAAGCACATAACAAAAACGAAACGAAATTTTTCTTTTTTTTTTCCAACGACATCAAACCATGAAATTTTCCACCCACATTAAAAAAAAAAAAAAAAAAGAAAAAATAGAGAGAGAAAGAGAGAGGAGAGAGAGGGAAAGAGAGGAGAGAGAGAGAGAAAAAAAAACTTTTTTAAAATTATATGAAAAATCTAGGCTACAAATCAACGGAAACCACCTTAAAAAAAACCTGTTTTATAAAAAATAAGGCGGCAAACTTTTTTTTTTTTATTTTGTTTTATTTTTTCATTTTTTTTTTTTTAGGAACTGCCAACAATTTAGCATAATTTAAAGCGAGCAAAATTTTTTTCAACGGCAAAAAGAATTTAAATAAATAAATAAATAAATAATAATAATAATAATAATAATAATAATAATAATAATAATAATAATAATAATAATAATAATAATAATAAAAGAAAAACAAAAATTGCCCATACGCGCCTTATTGTTCGAGACACACACGCTTAATTTGTAATTAATAACTAATTTTTAATTTTTTTTCCTTTTATTTTTTTTTTGCCGCATTCGAAAATTAATAAATAATATTAATAATAATAATAATGATAATTATTTTATTTTAATTCGTGCTTGACTACTTCGTCTTTTGATTTCGTCATTTAAATGTTAATAATAATAAAAAAATTAAATGCAATAATTGAAAATAAAAAAAAATTACATAAACAAATCAATTTTTTTTTACGGATTAATTACGCCGTAATAAAATTTCTCGACGTAATAATAATACTAGTAGTAATAATAATAATAATATTAATAATAATAATAATAATAATAAATCCCAAATTAAAAAAAAATTTTTTCTTTTTTTTCCTTATTAAATTAATTTTTAAATGAGATTAAAATAAAAGCTTAGTAATAATCCTTTGGAAAACCAACAAAAAAAAAAATGGGAAAAATTGCAAAATTATTATTATTATTATTATTATTATTAAAGTCTTCCACATGTCACTCACTCACTCACACTCGGGTATTTCTCAATACTAACTTTAATGACTAATATTTTAATAACTTTATTATTATTTTTTTTTTTCTTACTTTAAACCTTACACATTTGCGACTTGGAATAATTTAATTTTATTCAAATGAATTTAATAATAATAAAATAATTTAATTTAATTAAAAAAATTTATAAATTTTTAAATAGAGAGAGGGGGGAGAGAGATTAAAATACTAATTAATCACAAAAATAAATTTTAATCGAGTAAAATAATTTGGATTGTAATTATGTCACTTTTTTTCAAAATAAATAAATAAATAAATAAATGGTCACACTGAAGGAGGTTAAAAAATATTATTAAAAAAAAAAGAGGGAAACATAATCACATAGTTATGAAACTTGTTAAAAAAAAATAAAAAAAATATTTTAAGGTAATTTATTAATGAAATAACTAAAAAGATTATCTGTCGACAATATCATCATTTTATTTTTTTAAAATAATATTTCATATTTGTTATTTCCTTTTTAATGTTTAATCACCTTGAAATAATCTCTCTCTCTCTCTCTCTCTTGTTTCCTTTCCTTCAATTTTTTTTTTAAAAATTATATTATAATTATTTCTTGTCCCTTTTTTTATTTTGTTTTTTTTTAATCGAAACCATTTAAATAATATTTTTTGTCTTCTTCTAACCATAACTTGAATCATGAAATTTTCCTAAAAAAATGGTAACCCTTTAATTGTCATAATTAAATGACAGTAATTTAATTTATCTTTACATAAATGATTATGTAAAAAGAAATAAATATTTCTCGATAAAAAAAAAAAAATTAATAAATGTTAAAATGCTGATTTTTTAAAAAAATAAACAAAAGATTTTCGACAATCATAACAAATATTTTCAATTGTGAAAAAAAAAAAAAATTGAAAACATAAATAAATAATAAAAAATTGAACAAGTTAAATTTGATATTATGAATTTTTGACACTTTAAAAATACTTTTCGAGTAAATGAAATAACTTTTATGCTTTAAATTGTTACCTCGAATATGTTGGAGTTGTAAGAATTTTTGAATTCGAAAGCACACTCTTCGAGTAGTGCATGTGTAAAGTAAAGTGTCTCCAAGAATTAATATCTTAAATATTTTACAATTTCATAACTATTTCCACAGATTTAATTATTGATATAAGTCATGATTTGAATAATTTAAAACTTTCATGTCGACTGTGATGATGTGATTTAGCCAAAAATTAATTTTAATTGAAAAAAAATTTTACTCGTAAAAGTCTTTCTCATACACATAATAAAATCACAACTCAAAAGAATTTCGATATCATTTTATAGTGGATGTAATATTGCCTAATTTGATATAACTAATAAATAGTTCTTATCAAATATATTTAATTGTGGTGCTGCTATCATTAGAAATAAATATTAAGTTTTTTTTTGGAAAATGAAACATTGTTTTAGCGACAAGGTAAAAAAAAATAAAGTTACAAGGTATAAAATGTAAATACTGATAATAATAAAGTGATGATCATAACAATTTAAAAGAGATGGATTTACCAGGTGTCGCGACTGCGCCGCTGTGATATGAAAGACGCACGTGCTCAATGGCCTATTAGTAGTAATTGGGTCCCCGAGACACCACCTTACATTTACCGTGGTTCTCCCCATTCTATTTTGGTTTTTTTCTTTTTTTTTTTTTTTACTATATATATATATTTTCACATGCCTAGCGCCAGGAGAGCATAACATAGTTAAAGGACCTTGCACCCTTACCTTTTTCATAATTCCAGTCTTTCTCTTAAAAAAAGTGGTATATCTCCTAAGTTTGTTGTCTATGTATTCCATTTTAATTTTGACCCGTCCCTTAGTCTTTTTACCATTGGGCGGAGGGGTTTTCTTACTTTGTTGTACTTGGGTGTACCCATCGTCCACAAGTTCCGAACTAATGTCTGTATTGATGGACAGGGGTTGAGATGTCATCGGTCTTCCGCCCGTAACTTCTTGATCGAAACACACATCCGAAGATGTCCTTTTGATCCCTCTTGGGATTCCAACATTACACGAAGTTGGTAATAATGAATTGCGGGCAATGGCGGTGTTCAAAGAGCTCGATGCCCGGCCGTGTCCTGAGTACATGTCCGGAGAGCTTTCACCGCTCAGCATAGACATGTTATAGCCTAAATTAAAACGGGTATCACGGCCCCCGCCCTGCGCCTCCATGGCTAACATGTACTCTCGATCGACACAAGCACTATCTCATCACAAAATAACATTTGTAAATATTCACATCAACCGTATTGCAACACCGGCTAATCGATTGTAAAGAAAATAATACACGATAACCATTTTGGATTCACGACCGCACAACGACTGATCGTAATTTGACCCTATATGCGCAATGGCGCGAGTCAAAAGAAGGGGAAATAAAAAGCAGTCCTTCTTTATTTTTAATAATTTTATCTTGGTAATGCGTAAATGAACTAAAAATTAATTTTATAAATTAACACCGTCAAATTTTTAGTATATAATTAATTAACTAATTAAAATTAATTAATATTTTTAGTGTCAATATCGGATGAATACAAGAAAATCAAATCATTTCTCCTATCTCCCCCTACTCTTCCATATTTAGAAGTCGCTGTTGCCAAATTTGGTAAAGTTCTCCTTGTATGGAAAACAAAGAACCGCCCACCAAAGTGACCAGAATAAGTTTTCGTCGATTAATTTGGTGTAAAAATAGTATTTCTTATGGTAAAAAATTTCAGTCTGCGGAAATGAAAAAAGGATGAACATTGATGCCAAATAAGGGCCGCGGACATTTCATATTACTTTGAAAATGAATGATATGAAACGGCAGTTGATAATATTCAATCAGCTGATCATTGAATAAAAGGAAATTCCAGAATAACTGGAAATGACCAGTAAAGGCAGAAATGCCGTTCGTCTGGAAACGGAAATTGAAAAAAGTCGAGAGGAATCTAGATGGAATAGGGTAATTGAATTAGCTGAACAGTTGAAATCTAGAGCTCCAGCTCAAGGTAAAGAAGCCACATTAACTTACAAATGACCTTATTACTTACTTCATACCACATCATATTATATTTCATTTTATTCTTCTCCAATGTTTTACTTACAGAAACTTTAGCAGATTTTTTATTAGGAGAAGGAAAATTGGAATCATTTTTAGAAGAACATCCACCTACTGAAATTAATATACCATTAGCACAAGAAGGTTTAGTCGAGGCTAAAAGACATTTGTTAAATGCAATTACTGAATTAGGGAGGAAGGTGAATTAAACATTCCTTAATATTTTTTCTTTTCCTTTCACACATTTTCCTTGCTTAAATTTTTTATAAAGTTTAAATTTAAAGCAAAACTTGCAAAAAATATATGTAGAAATGAACATATTGTTACTTGTTTCCGATTTGAACTGCAACTTTTAAAATTGTTAATGTAACATATAAATCACAAGAAAAGTATTTTTTTAAAAACTTATTTTTTAATTACTTTGCACATGCACTATTGAATGCCATTTTACTTATTACAAAACTTTATGTAAATATAAATGTGTGATTTACTGTTTTAAAAATTGTGTAGGAAAGAGTAGCCTTGGACGGAAACCTTCTTCTGGGTAAATTAAATTATGCATGTGGAAATTATAACGATGCCTTATTACATTACACAAATGCTGAATTGGATTCATTAACTGAAAAAGAATTACCCAGCAGGGGGTTAAAAATTGTAGCTGAATCTTATGCAATTAAAGGTAATTTATTTGTGTTTTTTTCTTTAAAAATATTAGATGCGTTAAAATTAACTACTACAATAATCTAAACTATTTCTTTTTAGGATTATGCTTGGAAAAAATAGCACCAACTTCTACATCGAAATACAAATTAGCCGAACATACAGAACAAATTATGAAATGTTTTGAGTTAGCTGCAGATCTTACATTATTATACCTTCAAGAATTGGATAAATTACAACAACAACCACCTACAACCACTTCATCTTCTGGTAATAATTCTTATGTTTTATTGCTTTTTAAAACTATAAACTTTGAACTTTGTACCGATTGTGATACAATCATTATTTTTAAGTAAAATTTTAATAATTTTTTTCAGGTTCCCATTCACCACAACCTCCAGCACCAGCTAGGCAAGTTGGGCCCATTTTAGAAACTGCTTTACAAAGAGCTCCTTTGCTTTATGTTCAAGCCTCGAGATTGGATCAAGCTGTATCCAGGTATAGAAGCATGCTAAGTGCAGTGGAATCCAGTGCAACACAAAGTGTAAGATTAACGCTTACCAGGCAATTAGCTGAAGTTTTACTTAGAGGGCTTACTGGCACTTTATACATTCCTCCTTCTTCTTCAGTAAAAAGTAAGTTTTTTTTTTTTTTTTTTAAATGTCTAATACTACAACTGTTGCATTTAAGTGATTTTCATTGTGATATAAAATTCTAATTAAGTATATTTTGATAGGTACAAAAAAAACTCAGCCAGTTGCCAGTGAGAGCCCTTGGAAACCAAAACAATATACTGGCTTTAATTTATTTATACCAACAATTGATTATGAGGAAGTAATATTATTATTATTAATAAGTGAAGCTATGGCTGTTCGAGACACAGTCCTGAGTCAAGCTCCAGAATTTGAAGAAGCTCGATTGAGAGCACTTAAAAATGCAAAAGCAGTTTATGATCTCTTAGCAGTAACTGTCATGAGATGGGGACAAGCTACTATTTTACATGAAGTTCTTGAGAGAGCATTAAAATTTTCATTCGAAGAAAAACATATTTGGATGCAATATGCTCTTTGCTTAGTTACAATGGGTAAACATTTTCATGCATTGGCCGTTTTAAAAGAAGTCAAAAGGCTTATGCCTAAAAATACTATTCCCTGCTTGATTGCTGGAAGAATTTGTTATGAAAATTTAGAAAGGTACCTGAAATAAAATATCTCTCGTCAAAAATCAAAACAAAATATTTTAAATTTTTGTTTTATAAATTTTGTTTTTTTTTAGACCTAATGAAGGTGTAGAATGGTGCAAAGAGGCATTGGTAAAAGCCCAAAAACAAGAACCAAACTTAGTTTCTCGTTGTCTCTTATACATAGGAATTGGGTATCACATTCAGGCACAACAAACTTACGTGAGAGTAGAAAAGAAAAAATTAAGTGAACAATCTCTGCATTATTTCAACGAGTAACTTTCATTTTCTTAAGTATTATTAAAAACAATGAATTAGGTATAATAATTTTTTTTATTAATTTTTGATGTTTGTTATTTCAGGTCTGTGAAATACGATCCGTACGATCACTTGGCGCAGTACTATTTAGCCCTTCATTTTGCTTGTTCATTTCGAATTGTGGATGCCATAAAGCACGCTAAATGCGCTTTGGAATTCCGACCGGAACATGCTCCATCTTTGCAACTATTAATTTTATTACTAACGGCTCAAAAAGAATATAAAGAATCATCAAAATTATTAGAAGCTGCTCTCGAGGAGTATCCAGATGATCTTAATTTGCTTTATATTAAAGCACACTTGGAATTATATGATAAAGGTGGAGAAGCAGCTTTAGTCACAGCCAAACAAATGTTAAGCGTTTGGAAAGTGTTATACGAAGAGCAAACTCTGTTGGATGCTGCGGATGCTTCAGATAAACGAAGTGATACCAAAAGCACATTTCAATTATATACAGCAGAAATGTCAGATAAGGATTCAAGTATGTTATTCTTAAACTTAAATTTAATTTTTTTTTTTTAAAAAAACTTTTGAGAGTAATTTTTCAATAATTTTTCCTTCAGGCTCGCTACATGCTCAATCTGTCGTCGCATCTCGAGTGGAACATGCTTTGTCTGAAGTGGCTTCTTCTCTTAGTTCTTTTACTCCAAGACCTGGACCGCAGCATGCTTGGATTTTACAAGTTCAAATTTGGTTACTTTTAGCCGAAATATACCTTGAATTAAATGAATTAAATTGGGCTTCCGACTGTGTGCAAGAAGCCACTGCAATATATCCATTGTCGCATCAAGTTATGTTCACCAAAGGTTTAATCTATGAGAAAAAAGCAGAATTCACAGAAGCCTGTCAATGGTTTCAAAATGCAATCGCTATAAGTCCAACACATTTAAAAAGTCTTCAGCATTTAGGATTAACATATTACTATTTGGGATACAATAGATTGGCTGAAAAAACTCTGAGGGATGCAGCAAGAATCGATCCTAATTCTTTTACAACCTGGTATAATTTGGGCATTGTGTTAGAATCAGTGAAAGAATATGCAGGTGCAAGCGATTGCATGTTAACTGCATTGGAAGTTGAAACTACTAGTCCTGCACTGCCTTTTACAATGATTCCTATAACTTTTGAATAATTTTTTGTGGTTTGTAATGATAATAAAAATTTCACATGGAGATTTTTTGTTCGGAAATATGCGCGAATAAATAAAATAAGTTAAAATATATTTAAATTTACGTTTGATAATATCTATATTTTTGTTTTATAAAATTTACTTAAAATCATTGTTACAATCAAAATATATTATTGTAAAAATTATATGGGTATTACACGTATATCATTTTAATTAAATATTTTCGGGAATATTTATTATTGTTGTTTAAGTTAAATAAATCTGTTACAACTAATTTGAGTGTTTTTTATTTAAATTATTTTTATTAAAAGATTAACTCGCGTATTTTAGAAAAACGTAAATATAGAAACTTAGTTTTACTCAAGGAGGTCTTAAAATATTCATACACAGCCTTTTATTATCAGTTTAAAATTTACAGCTGGCTGTAAAAATGGCGTTAACTGCTAGGTAATATGTTATTAATTTTATATTTTTCAAATTATAATTTTTTCAACGTAAAATATTAATTATCTTAATTTTTTTTTTTAAAGATTATTTGGCAGAAGGTTTTTGGGCTGTGACGGATTACGATCGCTTTCTCTTTCGCAGTAAGCATCTTATCAGTTATAAGATTTGTTCAATATTTAAACATATTTAGTAGTAAAATTTTTTACCTTGAAATTTTTTTTGAGTTTTTTTTTTTAATTATTATTATTATGACATTATAAAAATATACATTTTAGATGCAGAACAGTTACTTTAAAACCCAGACCAGCTCAGATAGCTACTACAAATGAAGGTCACGATGAAAGAAATATGCGATTATGCAGACCCACATCGCCACATTTGACAATATACAAATTTGAATTACCAGCCGTATTGTCTATATCGCATAGGTTTACTGGTATTATTTTAGGAGGTTATGCAGTTACATTTGCTACAGTTTCTTTACTTTCAAGTAAACCCATGCTTGATGTGGTTCAGAGAATAAGTCATTGCTATCCTGGATTTTTCTTAATTTTCAAAGTTGGCCTCATATTCCCTTTTACTTATCATTTCTTTAATGGTGTTCGCCACTTGGTAGGTGGCTTAAAAAAATTTTTAATTTTTTTAATCATAATCGGGTAATTAATGTAAAGCAATTTTATTTTAAAATTTACAGGTTTGGGATAATGGCAAAAGTTTAAGTTTAAAAGGAGTTTATATTAGTGGTTATACAATGCTAATGGCTGCAGCAGTGTCAGGCTTAGCTTTGTGTTTTATGTAGGCTAGGATGATATTTATTTATTATTAGCTGAGCTCAGTTTTATTCATCAACATCATTTTTTTTCATTTTGCAGGTATTTTTCCTGTTTTCGGTTACAATTTTTTCTTTGTTAACAAATTTTCATTTTCATCCTCAAGGTTTCTTTTTTTTTTTTTTTTTTAGAACAAAAAATTCAAACTGAATTAAATTTAATTTGACTAAAAGAAGTAACTTTTTGATTTTTATTTATTGCAAAATAAAAATGAATTTTTTTTATAATTTTCCTACTTCACTATTCATGCATTAATTAACATTCATTTTAAATTTAAATGATTAATTTCAATTGAAATTTATCGAGTAACTTTTTTACAAGCTCCTGCCTCTTATTTTTTTTTTAATCGTTTCATTTTTAATTTGCTTTATAGTAATATTTAAAATATAATAATTGTTTCAGATTTGGGATACTGGAAAATTACTTACTATTAAAGGAGTTTATATAAGTGGATGTATAGTACTTTTATGTACAATTTTGTCATGTTTTGGTCTTTTCTATGTTGCCGAAGAGTTTAAAAGAATCGAGAAAGAATTAAAGTTGAAAAGAAAGGCAGAAGAAGAGGCTAAAATAGCAGCAGAATTAGAAAAGAAGGCTGAAGAGGAAAAACAAAAGAAAAAGAGAAGATTTTTTTAAAACTGAGTTTAGATGACATATTGATTTCTTTTTTTTTTTTTTTTGTAATTTTAATTTATTAAATTCATTTGATCTGTTCATGTACTAATGAAAAATTTTAGTTATTTATAAAAATTATTTGTTTGTTTAAATTATATTTTTTTTAAATTTTGATTTCAATTTTTCCATAGAATATTATTACTTTTACCAATATTTGCATCGATGAAAAATAATTTTTGATTGAAATTTATTCTATACTTTTAATATCAACAAAATAAATACAAGTAAGTCCTTTTATCAGTAGTAATTTGTAGTAATCATTTTATTTTTTTAAATAATATTTATTTTAATTAATGACTAATTAAAATTTAAATGACATTTATTTAACAATCAGTTATTATAACAAATTAAATGACATATTTGGAGAAATTAACCAAAAAAAAAAAAATTGCGGGAAAATGAAAATACTTATTTCGTTAAAAAAAAAAATAGATTCTTGAATTTAATATACGAAAATAATAAACGACATTTAAATATTTTTATTATTTGTTTTAAATTAAGTCTTAACATTATTATATTACTTATATGTAATTGAATAACCGTTGCATTAAATTTCCACTTATTGAAAATTTCTCAACGACTAACGTAGTATTGTTGTAGCCAATAAATTAAAAATTAGTGGCGTCTCTCTTCGAGAAGTTTTTAATTTAATAAAAACAAGGTAAATATTATTATTTTTTACATAATACCGTTTTAAATCAGTAAATATTATTATTAATATTTATTTAGATTAATATATAGGTCATATATTTGTTTAAATAAGTTCCCGCCAAAAGCCGGATTAATCTTGGTTGGGGACCTTATTTACTATTCTCATTAAAAACTATTTATTAACTTTGATTTTGAATATTTTAATTCTCATTTGGTTTTTTTTTTTTCTAATCATTATTCATTACAATTTGCATTTATTCAAAAGTTTTTTTTTTCGGTTGAAGTTATTTTAAAATTATTTTAATTTAAAAATAAAAGAGTATTTCAAAAACTAGACGCCTTTGATGTATGCGGTAGGAACGCACGCTTGAATGTTTACTAATGAAACTGTTTTGAATATTTTATTATTTATTTGTGTCTTTACTATAAATAATAATTTAGATAACATTATTTTAATTATTTAGTTTGTTAATTTTGTGTAACCTTATTTTATCAGCGACTGTCATTCAATTATTAGTTAATCTAACCATTAATACTTCTATTAAGAGGATTGGATTTTATTAGACAAATTATTGTTTTTGTGGCAATGAAATTCAAATTAATATAAAAAAAATATTTAAATTATCTTCACACATTATTTAATTACATCAATTAGTTTTTTTTTAAATAGTCAATTACTATATGAAACTTTCAGGGTTTTGTTTACAATATTTTTTTATGATAGTTTAAAGTAAAAAAATTTACTGCCTGTTTATTAAAGAAAAATGCGGAATAAAAAAACGGCGGCAAGGGAAAAGTCACCCATAGTTGTTAATGAGGCACCTAAGAATAAATCAACACCGAGAAAGAATAGAGCAAGTCAATCATTAGGGAGAAAAACATATCAGGCTCGATCAAAAAGTAGATCTCGAAAAGGTGTTAATTCGAAAACAAGAGGAAGGTCAAGATCGAGGTCTAGGCCAAGGCCAAAATCTAAATCGAAATCTCCTCAGAGGAAAAGCAGGCCTCGTTCAAGGTCACGGTCCATTTCTATCAAAAGTCCTGTCAGAGTTTCATCTAGAGTTAAAAGTAAAACTTTGATCGCCAAATCAGAAATCGAAATAAATAATGATAATCATATCGTTGAACCTCCAAAGTCTGAAATTGTTATAGGTAATTTAATTATAATAAAATTATTGTAAATAATATCAATAATTCACCAGTAATTATAATTACAATGTAATTTCAGATCAAACTGATAAATTATACGAAGATAATTCATCGAAAGAAACAATCCTCAAAGATGTAATTAGGAGGAGTATATCTAGAGAATTATCACAAAGCAAAACCAATAGTTATAGAGTAGCTTCGACATCATCAGTTCTTAGCTACTTACCAGAAACAGATACCATAAATCCAGATAATAATTACACTAAATCAATTTTAAAAGAAAATAATTATCCAAAGAAAAAAATTTCATTTTCATTTATTATTCCGCAATGGATAAAAATCATAACAGGTCTTTTCATCCCTCCATCAGTAGTATTATTTTTACACATTATTTGCAAATACAACAATTGTTATATTGATAAATTAAATCAATTTCCCAAATTGGAAAATTATTTTAATTTACACATAAGTGGTCTCATCATCGGTTTTGTTTTTCTACAAATTTTTTTCTCTCTTCTTCCCATTGGTAAAATAGTCTACGGACCACCTGGAATTCACGGTATTCTTCAGTATCGTTGCAATGGTTCGTATAAACCTCATTTGCTATTAATAAAATAAAAATTTGGATGATTAACACCTTTAAGTATTTTCAGGTTTACTTTGTACCTTTTTAACGGTCGGAGTAGTTGCAGGAATGTGGAAATTTGAATTACCAGTAACGACAATTAATGAAAATTTAATTCCATGCCTTACATTCACGATAATATTATCTTATTTTCTCGGATTTATATTATTTTTAAAAGGGGGCAAAGCCCCCGTCATAGGTTTGAACCCCCTGTGCATCGTGGAAAATAAATTTTATCAATTTTACAAAGGACGTGAAATAAATCCTTTATTATTTGGAAAAATCAACGTTAAAGTTTTATTGATTAGGACTTGTTTAAACGGAATGGTAAATACCCGTGAAAATTTAAATAATATTTAAAGGTTTATCTTAATTATTATTATTATTAATATGTTTTTCCAGCTTCTCATAAATGGAATAATGGCATTGAAAATTTACGAAAGCAAAAAAGAACTTTCATATGCTTTGACGACAAATCTCGTTATAAATTCTCTCCTGGTTTTTGATTTTTTCTGGTTCGAAAATTATTTTCCAACGACTTTCGAAGCCATGTACGAAGGAGTGGGTTGTTTGTTCGTATTGAAATATTTTCTGTATCCCTTTTTCACATTATTGATAACAAAAAATATAATAATTCATAATTTGGAAATCCCTTTGTGGAACGTGGTTTTAACCGGGTTCCTTTTCGTCACGGGATACATTGTACACAGAGCTAGTAATTTACAAAAAGCAGTTTTTAGAAAAAATCCATTGAATCCCGCTTTGTCGCGTGAGTATCCCCCACTTTTTTTTATAAACATAAGAAAAATCATTATTATTAATGAAAATTTATTTAAACAATGTTTCGCTTACGGATATATTTAATTAAAAAAAAAAAAAAAAAAATTTGACGTTTTTAGATTTAGAAACCATGTCGACCAACAGAGGTAAAAAATTACTCGTCACAGGTTGGTGGGGTTGGGTACGTCATCCAAATTATCTCGGTTTTATTATTCTTCATTGGGCTTGGGCATCGTCCTCAGGTACGTCGGCTGGATTTTCCGGGAACGCTGCGGGTTTTTAATAAAAAAAAAAAAATTAATTAAATAAAAACAAATGGTTTTTTTTTTTTAGGTTTTTCCCACGGTCTCCCCTACGCGGTCCCATTAACGATAACACTTTTGATGATGATAAGAGCCAAACGGGTGGATGAATTTTGCGGGACTCGTTATCAGTCGTTTTGGAACGAATATTGTAATCGAGTACCTTACAAAATTTTCCCACGAGTTTATTAAAATTATAAAAAAAAAAAAAAATAATAAACTAATGAAATGATAAGAAAACAAAAAGAAAAAGGGAAGAAAAGTCGATGAGTTAAAGGAAATCAGTTAATTTAATTTACATGACCAAAAAAAGGGATAAAAAGGGATGAAAAAAAATCAGGATCTCAATTTTTTCAAACGGGATATTTTTTTTATAACTTAACTGAACGCCGTTTTACGTAATGATAATAATAATAATAATAATTTAAAACGATACTAATAAATATTATAAACAAATGAGAAAGAAAGAAAGAAAAAAATTATTGTGCCAAAAAGTTTTTTAAATAGTTAAGTTTTAAATTTAGTACAAACAATAATAATAATGATAATAATGATGATGATGATGATAATAGTAATAAAATAAAGGTTATATATATAGATAGATAAATTTACAATACGTGCCTTGAGTAGAAATGGAAAGAAAAAAAGTAAAAAGGTATATAAAAAAGTTTTTAAGTAATAAAATAATAAATTATATTTAATTTTATTTTTATCTTTTAAAAGAAGGAAAAGGAAAAAAAGGCATTTTCAGGTTTTTACTCAGCAATAATAATAATAATAATTCATGTAAAATAAAATTAAACTGTTTAAATATTGATTTATTTTTTTTTTACGGATAGATTTTTATAACTTAGCTATGTATTAGTATTAGTAGTAGTTGTTGTAGTTGTTTTAGTAGCGTAATAATTGTAGTAGTCAAAAAAAAAAAAAACGTTTTTTTCATTTTTAAATAAAAAAAATTATTATTATTATGATTATAGTTTTTAGTAATATTATTAAAAAGTATTTTGTTAAATTTTAAGAAAGAATGGATGGAAGGAAGGAAGAGAGGGAGGAATGGAAATTTCGAGAATAACGATTGCCAAATGTTTTAAATTAAAAGGAAAAAAAATGGGAGAAAATAAAATTTTATGTATATTTTAAACCGTTGAAAAATTTTTTAAAAATAAATATTATTATTATTATTATTTTATTATTTTCGAGCGGTGACACATTTTTCTTTCTTTCTTTCTTTCTTTCTTTAATAATTAAAAATAAAAATTATTAAAAAGTCGAGAAGAATAATAAAATAATAATAATAATAGTAACTAATAACGGAAAAAATGTATTTAATTAATAAAAAGAAACAAATTATTTTTTATACATAAAGTTTTATGAATGAATGAATGAATGAACGAACGAATCGTAAAACTTTATTAATTTTTTTTTTTTTTATTGCGTTAATAATAATAATAATAATAATAATAAATGAATTTTTTTTTATATATAATTACGTGAGTTCTATTTTTTATCGATCCTTTTTTAACCTGTTTGTTATCAGTAAATGTGAGAGTTTAAAAAGATTTTTACTATAATAATAATAATAATAATAATAAATTAAAATGCATTCCTGATAAACGTACTTGATTGATTTGATAATAATAATAATAATAATAATTTTTATTTAATATCGATTTTAAAAGGTTTTTTTTTTTTTAAAGTTAATTTTATGATAAATAAAATAAGAATTTTTTTTTAATGTTTGAAAAGCACATAATATAAATAAATATAAAAAAACAACAAATTTATTATTATTATTATTATTATTATTATTATTATTATTATTTTTTATTAACGGTAATTTTACATAAAATAAAAAAATAAATAAAAGGAATAGAAGAGAGAGAAAAAAGAAAAAAGTTTAATGATGCATAAAATGATTTGTCGATTTTCATTTTTTTATTAAATGCCAAAGCTAAAGTTTTTTTTTTTTTTTTATATAAATTTAATAAATTTAATAAAATAATAATTTATTTATTTAATTTATTTAAATAAATGAATAATGAACTAATAAAAAAAAAATAAATTTTTAAATTACATATATATAAATATAATTAAGTAAAAAAAAACTAAAGCTTGAGTTTGTATGAGTGTATCTGTGTATATGTATGATCCCATTAAATTTTATAATAATAATTAAATAATAATAATAATAATAATTAAATGCATAAATTAATTAATTAATTAATTAATAAACAACGACATGATTTATAATAATTTTAAAAAAACATTAATTATAAAATTATTGTTAATTTATTGTATGAGTATATAAAATTAATAATAATGAAAATGACATGAATTTTTTTTTTTTACTTTAAATATTAAATTTATCATATTATAAGAAAGCTTTAAATAATAATAATAATAATACTAATATTTATTTAATTAAATGCGATAAAATTAAATTTTAATATGGATTTTATGTAAAAATATAATTTTTTTTTTTTTTAAAGGCATTAGTATATAGCTTTTGGGAAAGACAATGAACAAAAAAAAATTTTGTTTAAACAATTCACATTTATAATATAATTACACCGTTTAATTTTTTTAACTGTTTGTCTGTTTGTTTGTTTGTTTGTTTGTTTTGTCATAACATTACAAAATAAATTAATTTTTGTATCCACAAATAGAGAGAGAGAGAGAGAAAGCCAAAATATTTTTTTTTGTTACATACAATTAAAGAAAATAATTTTTTTTTTTTTCTCGATTATCAGTCATTAATAAAAAATAATAATTTAATATTATTAATAAGAGACATTATTAGATAGATAGAGACATTGATATTGCTTAAATTAACATTTACACACTACTTTTAAATAATAATAATAATAATACTTAAATAATAAAAAGGAAAAAAAAAAATTTTTTTTTTTTTACAAATTTTTTTTGTGCCGTGAATAGAAAAAAAGTAATAATGATAAAAAATAATAATAATAATAAAAATAAAAAATTTTTTTTTTTTTACCCACTGTGAAAAACTAATTTGCACTAATTATATATATATCTATATATAAATATATATAAATGAAAACTTATAAATAAACAATTTAATAATATAAGAATAATAAATAACATATCACATACGACAAACACAATCCGACTGCCTCCCAGATTGTCCATCTCTATGAAGATATTTTAATTTAGAATCTCCATATTGTATTCCAGATCCTAATCTATCAGGTTCAAGTTCTCCAGCTTCTATTTTAGCTAATATAGATTTGGAACATTTCAAAAAGGCCTCTTCTACGCATTCTCCACTTTTAGCACTTGTTTCCAAAAACATGAGTTCTGAAATTATTTAAAATGAAAAAATAATTTGTAATGAAAGAAAGAAAAAAAAAAGGAGATTTATAAAACTTCTTCTGTGGGAAAATATCTTACCATTTTCTTGTGCAAATTTACTAGCTTCTAGAAAAGTAACTTCCCTTTCTTTTTCTAAGTCTTTTTTATTACCTACAAGTAGCATAACAATATTCGGACTGGCTAACGTTTTCGTATCCGATAGCCATGTTGATAATGCATTAAACGAATCTCTACTTGTAATGTCATAAACAAGAAGTGCACCAGCAGCACCTCTGTAGTATCCCTTTGTAACAGATCTAAATCTTTCTTGACCAGCTGTGTCCCATATTTGAAGTTTAACACTTTTTCCACCTACGTTAACTATTTTCGATCCAAATTCTACTCCAATCGTGTAACTACTATCTTCTTTGACTACAAAAAAAAAAAAATTCCAATTAAAATTGATGTAATAATATTATTTAACAGTTTAATGCCCTTATTAATATAATAATAATAATTAAAATGAATTTAATTTTCTCGTGGTTATTGAACGTAACGTGAATTATTATGCAAGAATCAAATATTGAAATAAATACGTAAATACAAATTCATTTTTTTTAACGGTTAATTATAAGAGTTTTACTTTTTTTTTACAATATGAATGTGTGATAAATTGAAAAATCAGTTTTTAATATACATGGAGGTGAAAAAAAAAAAAAAAAATTTATTGATTTTATAATTTTAAGTAAAAAATATAAATGTACTCACATTGGTTTCTAATAAACTGATACAATAAACATGATTTTCCACAGCCTGCACTTCCAATGACCAAAAATTTAAACAAATAATCTAAAAACATAAAAAATTATAATTATTATTATTAAATTCTCTTCTGTCAAATGATGATGATGACCACTTGTACATAAAAAAAAAAAAAAAAAAAAATTTCAATATAACTAACCGTATGATTCTGACATTTTAATTAAATACACGAGTAATAATTAAACACTTATAACAATAACATAATTTTTAAAAATATAAATAAAAAAAAAAACCTATTTTATTACAAAATAACTTATTGTATATAAATCCAGATTTTTTTTTTTTTTTTTAAAAAGAAATCATAAATAGATAAATTAAAAATGAAGTCAACGCAAAATATCGATGCCCCCTTTATCTTACGAAAAAAAAGGAGAAAAAAATAGTGGATATTGAAGGCTTTGTTACGGATAATAACCGCCAAAGTAGTAAATCGAAAAAAAAAAAGAAAAAATTTATCGTCGTCGTTAAAAGATTATAGTCGTCGAGTTATTTTTTAAATAAAAATAGTTTATATTTGAATTTTAAAGAGTAAAAATAACAATTAAACAGGTATTTTGATATTTTATTTTAGGTTTTGCCGCCATAAATAAAAAAATCGAAATTTTTTTTTTTTAAATATGAATTTAGTATTTTTAACATGGACGACAATATGAAAATTTAAAATCAATTAATTTAATTTTCTTTTTATAAGAACGAAATCCCGCCAAATTTTCCACAATATATATATTGTTGGAATTCATGGAAAAACCATGCGCGAAAATACATTTTTTTTTTTTTTTTTTTTTCGTTACCAAGGAAAATTTTCAAGTAATTTTAAAAGAAACAATGGCTTGTAACTGCAAAGTTTTAAAAAGTAAATTTGAAAGACTTCAAACAAAATATATAACATTAAAAAGAAATCATAAAAGGCTTTTAGGTATGCCAGAAAACCTTTTTTTTATATTTAATAAAAAAACACACACATTCTTTTTAATTTGAAAAAAGATCAAAAAATTTTCACAATTTTCCTTTAGTTTTTTTTATTTTTTCATAGAAAATAAATTTTAATTTATTATTTTTTTGATATTTTTATTGATTTAAAATACAAATCTATCTGTACCTATTTATATAAATTTCAGGTTTAACAATATTATTAACGGATGTTTTAGAAGATTCCATTAAACAAGGTGTTAATAGTGAAATAATATCAGAAATAGAATCTTATGCTACCCTATATCCAGATTTATTAGGAAATAAGAAAAGTTTTAAAATTGTGGATGTGACAACAGCAGAAAACAATAATAATAATAATAATAATGAAATGGAATTAAATAAAGGACAAATTGTTGATGAAAATGGTAGAATTTATGAGCCAACAAGTGAAACTGAAAGAGAATATTATGAAGGTTTTTTAGCAAGGCCTAAAATACCAAGAACACCACAAACTTGAATTTATCTATAAATAATTCAAAAAGATTTAATTTTTTATAATAACAATTTAGATAAATATTATTATTATTATTATTTTATTAAATTATGAATATTTTAAATTATTAATAAAATCTCAGGTTAGTTTTTCTTTCTGCTTAAAGGAAACAAAAAAAAAAAAACATTTTCTCTTATTGTTGTTGTTATTACCCTTTAGTTGTTGATACGTGAAAATGTTTTCTCTCTCTCTCTCTCTCTCTCTTTCTCTCTCTCTCTCTTTCTCTCTTTATTAATTACTTGATTAATTAATTTTTTTTTTTAAATTTATTTATTAGAATATAAATTACATCAATTATTATTATTATTATTATTTTAACCGCAGTAATAATTTAAATTCTTACATTTAATTATAAACGCGACCCTTTTTTTTTTATTTGTTAATAAATGACGTTGTAATTATTATTATTATTATTATTATTTAAACAATTTATTTATATATAATTAGTTTTATTTGTAGTTTTGTATTTGGTGAAAAAATAACAAAAAATTTCGTTTTAAACGTTGACATTTTTCTGTTTTCTTTTGATTTTTTACTCTTTTATTATGTGCACAAAAAAAATGGCCGCCGCCGCCGCCAACGTTTGATTTAAACAATTTTTCAAATATTTTTATATACAAAATTTAATTAAAATTTTAACTCTCTCTTAATAATAATAATAATAAATAATCAGTCAACAAGTCACGGAAAAAAAAATTTAATAAAAAAAATTTCTTCTTCTTTCAAAAGGTATTTCATCGATAAATTAAAAAAAAAAAAAAAAAACGAACAAGAAGGAAAAAAAATGGCGTCCATACAATCGTTTTTCCTTTTCCTTTTCTTTTGTGTGACAAATAATAAATTTAAAAATAAATAAATAAATAAAAATAAAAAAATTCTTTAAAGTTATTGTAAATAAAAATAAGTAATGATTAATGTTTAAGTATTATTATTATCATCAAACGCGAGCGTTTACAAAAAATAGATATATTATAAACTAGCGTAAAAAATCCAGTTAGATGATAATAATAATAATAGGAAATCTTTTTAAGTTGAAAGTAATAAAATTTCTACTTCATTTAAAGCAATCAGTTAAAAAAAAAAGAAAACTGAAAAGAAAAGAAAATTCTAGAAATATATATATATATATTTTCCATAGCAACGGGTTAACAGAAGATTAGGCTTAGATTTGAATACGTTTTTCTAAAAAGTGTGTGTGTGTGTGTGTAAAAATTCGAGTTGATTTTATTTAAAAAAAAAAAAAAATTTTATATAATTTTTTATTTAAAACGAATGATAGAAGAAGAAGAAAAGAAGGGAAAAGAAGGGAAAGGAAGGAAAAGAGGAAAAAAATTTGTCGTGGTAATAGATTTTTGTGTCGATGTTTTGAAAAAAAAATGATTATTCACTCTTACACGCTACATTTATTTATTATTATTACGTAAGAATTTAAGTTTAAAAATAAAACATTATTATTATTATTATCATTATCATTATTATTATTATCATCATCATTATTTTATTTATTATCGGGACCTTAAAAAAAAAAAAAAAAAAAGAAAAAAAATTTAATTTAAAAACGATTGGATTTGTAGAGAGGCGGGGAAAGAAGGGGAGGAGAGTGAATTTTCCCGCGAGTTTTTTTTTTTTTTTTTTAAAGCAGAAGAAAAAGCAGAAGAAAAAGCAGAAGAATAGAAGAAGGAGAAGAAAAAAGAAAATCGCCGCGTTCTTGTAATATATTTTAACTTTTCTTTTTTTTCGGTTAGACTATAAAACATTCTTTCGAAATTTAGATTTATGTAGAAGAGAAAACCTGAGAAAATTTTTTCCTTTTTTTTTTTCTTTTTTTTTCCTTTTTCTTTTTTCCTTTTAAATGTTTTTTTTTTTTTTTTTTTTTTTTTTTTAAAAAAAAAGCAAACAAAAAAAAAAAAACCCCGTAAAAAAGGCGTTTTTTTTTTTTAAAAAAATTATTTTTCATTACCACCATTACTATCGCCATTATTGAAACCCCCCCCCCCAAATTTTTCAAAAAAAAAAAAAAAAAAATTAAAAAAAAAAGGGGGGGGGGAAGAGGAGGAGGGGAATTAAGTTAGGGGGAAAAAACAAACAAAAACCCTTTTTTTTTTTTAAAAAATGTTTATTGAAAAAAAAAACCAAAAAAAAAAAAAAAAAACCAAAAAAAAAAAAAATGGAAAAACAAAACCCTTTTGATTTTTAAAACGTTTTAACAAAACAAATAAATAAATTTTTTTTTTTCGGGGGGAGGGAACCGGGGGGGGTTCGTTTATATTTATGTTTTTTAATAAATAAACAAAATGGCGGCGAATTTTTTTTTTTTTTGCGTGTATTTATCTCGTATACGAAAAAATAAAAAATAAAAAAATAAAAAACTTTTAAAGTATTTGAATTTTCACGAAAACGGATTTTTCCTTTTTTTTTTTTTTTCCTTTTTTTTTTTTTTTCCTTTTTTTTTCGTAGGAAAATTCAAAGAGTCCAAAAGTTTTCCTTTTTCTTCTTCTTCTTCTTGTTTTCATCCCTTAAATTTTATCTCTTAAAGACAATAAAACAAAAAAAAGGTGAAACTTTAGTATTTTTTTTTTTTTTTTACCTTGGAAAAAGAAAAAAAATGGTGAAGAAGAAAAGGAGGGGGAGGGAGGGAGGGGAGAAAAACGTCGTCGTTGCATTCCAAAAAAAAAAGGGATGAAAAAAAGAATGAGGAAGGGGGGGGTAGGGGGTGGACGAATGGATGGAAAGAAAAATTTTTTTTTTTCTCTCTATTTTACGTGACCGGGTAATTTTTTCCTTTTTTTTTCTTCCTTTTTTTCCTTTTTTTTTTTACCTACGTACGTATAATTATGTAAAAATTATTTTAAAAAAAAAGTAATAATAATAATAATGATAATAATAATACATATATGTATGCAAAACCTTTTTTTTTTTTTTTTTTTAAATTTAATTTAATTTAAGTATAAAAAGGTTTTATTTAAATGTTTGGAAAGGTTGTTTTAAGTAAAATAAGGGGATAAAAAAAAAAAAAGGTTTTACGAAAAAAAAGGGGGAGGGAAAGAGGGAGGGAGGGAGAGGATGAGGAGGCGGGAAAAAGAGAGGAGGGGTAAGAGGAAAATTTTTTAAAACTTTTTGGCTCGAAATCCTTAAAAAAAAATTTTTTTTTAAAGTTTTGTTTTGTTTTGTTTTTTTCTTTTCTGAACGTTTTTTTTCTTCCATTTTTTTTCTTTTTTTTTTTTTTTAATATAAAATAAAAAATAAAAAAATTTTTTTTTTTAAGTAAAAAAAAAATCAATAAAAAAAAAAATTGTAAAGTTGATGACACCTTAACTTTAACATCTTAATAAATTTAAAAATATTCAATTTTTTTTTATTCTGGAAAATTCTTTTTTTTTTTTTTTTTTTTTTTAATTTTTCGATAAAAAAAGAAAATTTTTTTTTTTTTATATTAAATTTTGTCGTATTTCCACCATCGATGATTTTATGAATTATGATGATGATGGTGATGGTGA